TTGCATATTGCAAGAAAGGCTTTGAAGTTCATGCAAATCAAACGTATGTAGTCAATGTCGCCTCCACACTCGTAATCCGAGTTTATCGTAGTAATCCTTACATTCCCGGTAATAGTTACTCACTTTGACATATAGAATGGCCCTTTCACATCACCCTAAGTTACAGAACAGACGTCAATAACGAATGAACCCGATGGAAACCCCGAACCTTCCCTGACGCAACGGAATGACAGAAATACGCCAAGGCGAAAATAGAGCAAGCAGTTCCATAAACGTTCCCGCTGCAGCGTCCAGTAATTTCCTCCAGGTGAAACGGCAACTTAATATCTAGGAGAATATCCGGGATACCCGGGATACTCGAGGGCTCGCGTAAAAGCTTGCGTTTCGCCCGAGCGAACGACTTCCTAGTTCTCCCGAGTTCGTGAATTTCGTTTACGGGAGATTCCCAGAGCCGGTCGATCGTCCGGTAAGCGAGGAATGCGTAAAAAGATTCCCTCTATACCGCTACGGTCGCTCATTGCCGGCGGAAAGAAGCCGCAAGAAACCGAAAGAAGCTGAAAAGAGCTGAACGCTGCACTGTAAAAAAAAATAATATAATTTTATAACATTTTTGTTGGAAGTTTTATTCAACCATGCTAATTTTATAAGATATTTTCAAATAAAATGCATAACACATATTATAAATTTAGTACATACGTGTAATTGATATTAAACTTTTTTTATGCAAAGGAACAAATTTGACATATGTTCCGGGCACTTTGGAGAACGATTTTAGAGACAGTCCTACCTTAAACGCCGAAAAAAATCTTTTTGCAATTATCGTGGTATCGAACCCGAAAATCGGGAAAAAGTAGCAGGTACACTGGGAGACATCAATGCCCTCCCATCCTGCACAGGCGATGCCGTATCTTCAGGGGAGGCATTCGTGTCCGCCACTGTACGTTGTCCATGATGCTCCCGGAGTTTTCTATCAATTGTAAGAATTTTTTTTAAACATTATTTAAATATTTCTCGGGCTCAAGAATGTCGCTACAATGTTTCTCCGCCAGTACCACCGATACTTGTTATTTCTCGATAAAATTTCTTCAAAAATAAACTTACGTAAACGATCGTAAAATGAAAAACTCGTCTAACAAAATTTGCAAACAATGCGTACCAAATGACTTTCGAATATGAAATTTATAACTTTTTCTCCGCAATTTCACGAAATTACAACGCGATGTTATAAAATTGTAAATTTACTTAGAATTTGATAGTAAATGTATACTAATTCACTGTTAAGACATCAAATTTATAATTTTACTGCAATCTTATGTACTAAAATTGTGTATGAATTTTATGAATTTTTTTAACAGGATGGCTCGCATCTCGCAGGACGTCTTTGCGTTACATTAGTCGCGTCACGTGGACGCGCTATCGCGTATATTTAGCCGCGAGTGCTCGGTCACTCGCCTGTGCGTCCTCGCGAGTACTGGCAAGTACTGGCGAGTACTCGCAAGTACTCGGTGCCGGGTGTAAGTCACGTAAGTACACAAGAGGCCGCAGCATCCCACTTAACGGTCAGCTCGACCTAAAAATGCCTCCTCGGCACCTGTTCCAGCTTTGTCGGTTGATTTTCATGGATCTAAGTCAAGGGGAAGCGCTTCTGCAATTACGTCCTCCTCCTTTTTCCTCCATAATGCGAGACCCGTAGGTTATTTATCGCTTCGGCATAATTTATCACAATTCGCGCCCAGGAAACGTTGCGTTTGCAACGATTATCGCTCATGGAATACCTCGTACCTGCATGACGGGTTTGGCCTCTGACTTTTGGGTCACTACCCTGAGTCTCAGTATATCTGAAATTTTTATCAACGAAAACTTTAAGGACTATGTGTAGTCCGGCATCGGTGTTGCCAACCGCACCGTTTTTATCGTATTCGTCCTATGTTTTTTTAGAATAATAATAAAACGCAGTGTCCTATTGTTTCAGTAGAAAATGAAACTTTGACTGTGGGCGACATTGTTACTATTCATGGATATTTTCGTTTATATCCTTTATTTTGTTTTTAAAGACATTGATGCTTTGTTAAATTAGGGGATGAAATTAAACTTTTCCATTTTTATTTTTAATTTACCCTGAGTCTCAGTATATCTGGAATTTTTATCAACGAAAATTTTAAGGACTATGTGTAGTTCGGCATCGGTGTTGCCAACCGTACCGTTTTTATCGTATTCGTCCTGTTTTTTTAGAATAATAATAAAACGCAAAGTGTCCTATTGTTTCAGTAGAAAATGAAACTTTGACCGTGGACGACATTGTTATTATTCATGGATATTTTCATTTATGTCCTTTATTTTGTTTTTAAAGACATTTATGCTTTGTTAAATTAGGGAATGAAATTAAACTTTTCCATTTTAATTTTCAGTTTGGCCCGAGTCTGATTATATCTGGATTTTTTATCAACGAAAATTTTAAGGACTATATGTGACTATGTCCGACATCGGTATTACTAACCGTACCATTATTATCGTATTCGTCCTATTATTTTAGTCCGAATTACTATGCATTTTTAGAATAATAATAGAACGCGAATTGTCCTATTATTTTACTAGAAAATGAAACTGACAAAATTCTTTAGTTAATAACTTTAGAGTGATTACATCAGATAGATGTGGTAGATCATATCAAATATCAAAGTACTTTCATTTAACCATAATATTCGGTTTATTGGCCAAAATATGTTATAAAATTAACGAAGCAATTTAACCAGAACACTTTTGTTGGTCGAAAAAAAAAACAACTTTGGTCGTACTTCATTATTTTAAGATATGAAGTATTCTATCAATGCAATGCATCAGAGTTAAATATTCAGAATTTTTTAATGAAGACTATATTTCTTTGACTTTATGTTCGAGTTTCTTTAATTCCATTCAAAGGAATAATATCCTTGAAAGGAAAAAATATTTCTCTCCCTGAACCTACTCTTGTCATTTGATGAGACAGCTTTAGAAATCTCCCCCAAAAATCTGTAGAACTTCGTGTATGTCGGTGAAGGATAATTGTACCCTGTCCAAATGACAGAGATTTGAGATTAAGAGAGACACAAAAAGTCCCAAAACTGACAAAAGAAATCCAGGAAATATTAATGACCAGCGGAAACGACATTGTGGTAATTTCCCTAACGTAATCGTTTTTTAGCATCGCATTCCGCTTCGTACAAATTGAAAAACATTTAATATCAGTACTTGCGAATCGTATAATCACACACGGCTTATCAGAACTCGTGCCTTCGATTTACACATCGCTATCCTTGTTGGAAATAGGCTCGAAAAGTTCCTTGAACATTTCTTTCTACGTTGCATGGTTTGCCCGTAATAATTAATTGAAAAATAATTAATCAGGCGCGTCGATTAATCGAACGCGTATCAGCTGCGCTCTGCTGCCTGCGATGTAAATGTTATTTATTTCATTCTTTCGACGACGTCGTACGACGGGGAAATGAAAGATTCCGATTGGCTGTTAAATGTCAGCGCTGTGACACGCTTCCGTCATAAGAACGAGTTCTGTCGTACAGATGTTCAGCATGGCTGAACTTCACAGGATATATTTCACATATACGGCGAAACTGTTCTCGTAAACATGACGACTGTCGTACAATAGCCGTCGTTGTACGGTGAATGAAATAAGGCCCTAAGAGGGAAGTCCCACTGACAAGGAAGGTATCCCAGGTCGATCTCTCCGATCTGATTTCTTTTATAATATGTTATAGTAGACTAAAAACTAAGCGACACGTATTTTTTTTTATCTGCCATTAAACACTTTAAGGGGGTGAAACCACCATCCAAAGTAAGGCATGTCAAGAGGCGATTTGGCAGTTTCACCCACAAGAACATAATATTTTTTAACCAATACACCTGGAAAAGCTTTCTCATAACGAGAAATGAAAAATATAATTTTCTCAATTAAAAGAAAAAAAAATTAAGGGGTGAGCCACCCCTCACAGGCCTTACTTTGGATGGTGGTTTCACCCCCTTAAAGTGTTTAATGGCAGATAAAAAAAATACGTGTCGCTTAGTTTTTAGTCTACTATAATATATTATAAAAGAAATCAAATCGGAGAGATCGACTTGAGATACCTTCTTTGTGAGCGCGGGGCGTCAACGCGTCGAGGATGTAAACCAATCACACCCGGAAATGACGTCCGATGTTAAGGTGAAGTGAAACCCCCTCAAATCAGTCGATTCACATAAGACACTTTTTTTAAAAGGTATTAAGCCGAACCGTCCGAAACTTTGACACGTGACTCGTGATCATCTAAGAATTGTCCTGATACATTCAAAATTTGAATTTCTTAACAAATATGTTAACTCAGCCCAGACCAGAACCAAAATGGCGACGAGCTCTCATATTTCGATCAATATACAATTATCGAAGGCTGTGATATGAGAACCGAAAGGGTCAGGACAATTTTGCGACAATTTAGAGCACTCTGGTAATCGATAAACTCGCCTTTGAACGGGATAAATGCAAAAAAAGTGTTGTATGCGCTTCTATTCTAAAACGATGGGAATACGAGGTCTCGGAGTAAAAATTTAATCGACCTGGAAATCACAGATGGCGCAGGGGGTTCCTCTGCAGTCAATTAGGGCCCCACAAAACACGAATCCAGAGGATTTCTGGAGTTTTACTTCGATTTCTTTATAATTATTATACGAAAACGACAGATGGAGTATGCCATTTGGTACAATATCCAATATAATTCGACACAGCTGTCAATATAAAAACGAACGTCAGCAACGTGGGTATTTAGAAAGAATCTTCTTTACCGACGTCGATCAAGTTCCTAGACAAGTTTCATTTCACCTTAAAGGTAGTTCCTTACAGGGTGTGATTATGCTACCGTCTTTGGGTAGTTTCGCCCTCGACGTCGAAACTAGGGTTTTTCATGGTGCAAAGAGCTAAGCTCGCGTACGGTGGAAACGGATCGAATTGAAGCAATCTCGTATTTCCATTGCAGGATCGACCGCGAAGGATGGGCTCGGAGGCCTGGGAACTGGAGAGGAGGTACTCCGTGCCAGGAGCTCTGGACACGAGGGGCCTGGAGCCTCCTGCGAGCGAGGATCTGCACGCTTGGTCGATCTACAGGTTCGTTAATGGTTCCTTCTTCCCGTTCGGAAAAATCGCCCTCCTTCAGCCGTTTTCATGCCAATGGCGAGGTGGAAGAAACGTCGCCATTAGGTCGGGGACTCGGGGTCGTCGCACTTGCCGCGAGCAGCACATCCGCGACGCCTTTTACGACCGCGTAGTGGCGTAGGTGATTGCCGGGCATAAATTAAAACAGCGCTTACAGGAGTCCTTGGGTCAGCTGGATGAACTTAGGAGAGGCCGTTGGGCAGATCCGGCATTTTGCCACTTTTTTAGGAACGCATCTCGGAGTGAATGGTTGAAGGGTGCAAATTAGGGCAGCGTTTATAGGAATTCTTATGTCTGTCGAGTGGACTGCAGAGCGGTTGTTGGAGAGACGTCTACCCTGTTAATAATAAATATCGTAATCTCCTAACATATTTTCCGGAAGTTTCATTCATACTCGGTTTACTAATTTAAGGAAGAAAGCGATGCTCGTGAGATTTCATTTTTGAGAAAAAAAAAAAATGTGATCGTGCTTCTTGTCTAGGATCAATTTCACGAGCATCGGGAGATTGCTCACGAAGTGCATCGTGAAATTTCACGAGGGTCAGGATCTTCCTTATAGCCTCCATGTTCACGGTGTAAAGTTTGAAACGATTCGGTGAACCCAGTTCGGAGAACAATTTCATACCCAAAACCTCTTCGACGCCACTTTTATGTCACCTTAAGCCCTTTCTAATACAACTTGCTCGTTCCGCAGACAAAATCTGAACTCGGACTTCACGGACTCGGCCCTGGGCTCTGCGGAGAAGTCCCCTCTGCCTTATGGAAACTTCCAGTTGCGAGATTCAACGGTGCAGAGCATCTTGCGGCATCCTCGATATGGACCGAAAAGTCCTCTCGCCAGCAACTCCTACACCTACCTTAAATTCGGACTCCCGAGGGTCCTGCCGCCCTCCAGGATGCGAGATGGCTCCAGTGGGTACGACTCCAGCGAGGAGGGTCGCAGGATATCCCACGGAAACGGTCCCAGGGCGAGCTCGGTGATGCGCTCGGCAAGGAGCGACCCTGACTTCAGGCACGTCCACGCGATGCCCAGAGAGACGGCCCACTCGCAGATCCTCGTTAAGGACACTACGAGGACAAGGAGCGTCAGCGAAGCGAACCTGCTGAATCCTGGAAGACCCAACAGACGGCACAGCATAGCGCCCGTGGATCCCGGATACGGACACGGAGTCCTGGGGCCGGAGTCCTATCATCCGGTACCCTTGAGACCGGTTGCTTGTCTTCAGCATCCGCATCTTCAGCTAAGAGGAATCGAGGCCTCCGGGTCCAATGGGCTGCCCCTGCTCAGGGGAATATCCTTGGAGGCTGGGGCCACGGAGGTCCTGGCTGTTATGTCCACGACCGAGAGAGAGGGGACTCTGATCGTCGAGACTATCTCTGGCAGGAGGAAGGTCAAGCGCGGAGATATCCTGCTCAATGGTCGTCCTGTCTCGGCCAACACGTTACGGTAATTTTCAGAGTGGTCGAGACCTAAAAAAATATTTTTTTAGCCGCCGTTTCTCCAACATTTCACGAGATACGAACTCGACCTTCCAGTGACGATCCATTCTGGAATAGGAATTTTTAGTGTCCTCAGGAACTTACCCGTTTGGAGATGCGTTATACATAGTGAAATGGATCTTAATTTCAACTTGCTGCGATGGTCAGGCTTCGTGAGACCGGAAATTTGACGCAGCGAGTGAATTTTAAATTTAATCTAGCCATGTTAACTTCTGATGTACATCTTGAAGGTCAGGTCTATAAAAAAGTTGAAACTTTTGTTCAGACAATGAAAGTATCCAGTCGCCATATTTAAGTATTTTACTTCCTCGCGCAGGGTGTAATAATTCTCGCCAATCCCCTGACATTGAGTCATAGTAACCGTGTAATGTTGCGAAAGGGTTGATAGTACCGATTAATTCCTTATGTGAGGTTGAACTTCGTGAGAAATGATATTTCCACATTTTTCCAGCTCTCGAGTTTCGTATCTACCGGCGGAGAGTGGACTCACTCCAGGACTCACTGCCCAGCAGACTCTCAGTTTCTACATGCTGCTGAGGAAAGGCTCGGGATCCTCCAGTCTGGAAGCCGAAGCAATTCTCCAAGAGTTGGGCCTGGAAGCCTCGAAACACTGCTTGGTCAACACTTTAACGACCTCTGAGGCCAGAAGGCTGGCTCTGGCCTGTAGACTGCTGCAGGATTCCCACATCCTCACTCTGGACAGACCAACTCACGGCCTGGACATCTTCGACGCCTTCTTCTTGGTCGAGTATCTCAGGCAGTGGGCTGGAAGGGGTCAGCGACTCGTAGTTCTGACATTACATCCGCCGACGTATGAGATTCTCACGATGGTCTCGAGAGTCGCTCTTACGTCCGGGGGAAGGATCATGTATTCGGGACCCAGAAGAGACATGTTGCCGTACTTCGCCATTGCCGAGTTCCCCTGCCCTCCGTTCAAAAATCCCTCCGATTATTACTGTAAGAAAATCTCAGTCACACAACGCGATCTCTAGCAGTATACACTTTTCATAGCAATTTTAATTCAATTTATTTTAATCTATTTAAGGTGAAGTGAAACCCCCTTCAAATCAGTCGATTCGAATACAACACTTTTTTCTAAGGGTATTAGACCAAACTGTCCGAAACACATCACTCCTGATCATCTAAGAATTGTCCTGACACATTCAAAATTTGGATTTTTTAAAAACATTTTTTAACTCAGCCCAGACCAGAACCAAAGTGGCGTCGAGCTCTCATATTTCGATTAATATACAATTATCGAAGGCTCCGATATGAGAATCGAAAGGGTCAGGACAAGTTTACGACAATTTAGAACACTCTGGTAATCGATAAACTCGCATTTGAACGGAATAAGGGCAAAAAAAGTGTTGTATGCGCTTCTATGCTAAAACGATGGTAATACGAGGTCTTAGAGAGAAAATTTAATTGACCTGGAAATCACCGATGGCGCAGGGGGTCCCTTTGCAATCAATTAGGACCTCAGAAAGCATGAATCCAGAGGATTTCTGAAGTTTTACTTCGATTTCTTTATAATTATTGTACGAAAACGACAGGTGGAGTATGCCATTTGGTACAATACCCGATATAATTCGACCCAGCTGTCAATATAAAAACGAACGGCGGCAACGTAGGCATTTAGAAAAATCTTGTTTATCGACGTTGATCTAGTTCCTCGACTTGTTTCACTTCACCTTAACGCGGGAAATATCGGTATCATTTAGAGGGTAATCGTAACAGGAGCTTATCGAATTTATTCTTGATGCTCATTTATTAAATATTGGTAGTAGGGAATTTATAGTGTTAAGGCGACATGAGAGTGGTATCTGCGGGATCAATTGTTTATCAACCTTTTCTGCGAACTGAGTATACCCAATTGTTTGAAATTTTACCCCGAAATTTCGGCATTGCGGCAAATTGCGGCACTCACGAAATTTCATTTTTTATAAAGAAATTAACAAAATGTTTATAAAGAAATGTTTAAAAATTATAATTTCATGGTTATTAGAATCTTTCTTAGGATCTCCATATCTGCGTGGAAAAATTTCAAATGATTCGGTACACCTAGGTCAAAGAAAAGTTTTATAAACGAGCCTCCTCAGATAATACATTTATATCACCTTAATGTTGATATTATTTCATACCAGGAGATAGTGTTTATCTTGCCAAAACAACATGGAATATTATTGATATAGTGATCAGGAGGAAAAATAAAATTTGAAGTTATTAGTACAGTTTTTTTTTTAGCTTAATGGGACGCATTTATGAATATCTTAAATATTAATTTCTTTCCGCATTTTTAAACGTATATCTTGAGCGATTTAATAGCGAATAATTGAAAGGCGGTTAATTTCAATGGCCATTAATTTTAACGTCGAACGCTTTAATTTTATAGCTGGGTTCTTCATTCATAGTTTATGTTCAGTTCCCGTGAAGTTGCACTTGGTCTCTCACCTTTCGCCCTTAAATAGGCATAATGACTTCTAATTGCTTAACACCGATTCGTCGAAAGCTTCACTTTTGAGTATAATTTTATTTACGATTTAAAGGTATCCCATAAAGGTATGATACATGCCGTGCATTGCGCGCTAAAACGCCCATTTCCATACCATGACTCACTTGCTAAGCATCCAATAGACGCCCATTTGTCCACTGAATCTCGCTAACAGTTTTGCACCATTAGAACGGCACATTCGCGGAATGCAATGCATAATAATGTGCTCGTTACATGACTATGAAACGAGTAATGACATATAAATGGCATATCGGGCTGATATTCTGCCATGCATTACGCGTCACGCGCGTTTACGGTAAACAGGCAATATCTCCTATTTATACCACTTAGAGCTATCGAGACGCATTTCATAATTTACGGTAATGATCATTAATTCCGGTAACGGTGTCTCTAAACTTCCAGTGGACCTGGTGACTTTGGACGATCTCTCGGCCGAGGCGATGTTGGAGTCCTCGCAGAGGATAGACCATCTGGCGGAATTAGCCAGGGCGAGATTACCTGGCCTGACTGATCCTGACCCACCTGGTGCCCTCCCACCTTCCATATCCACAGCGAACTTCTTCGTGCAGATCTACGCTCTGCTTCTGCGGTCTCTGATCTACAGTCAGCCCTGGGCTCTGACTAGGTTACTACAGAAGATCGTCATTTCTGCATCGCTCAGTATTCTGTTAGGCTTCGTCTTCTGGGACGTCGCTGGGGAAGGAAATTTACATCTGAGGGACAGAGTGGGCTTTCACTACGCCAGTTTGGGAATTCTTTCCTGGCCTTTGGGCCTTGTAGCCATTTGCGAAGTCGCAGGGTCCAGGCCTAGCGTTGAAAGAGATACCAAGGATGGATTGTACGGCAGATTTGTCTACATCCTTGTGGAGGTAAATTTCTAGATGTTCGTTTTTTATTGGCAACGATCACAAGCTATCCTTATCTTTAAGGTGAAGTGAAACTCAGACATTAGATCAAACTCTCCGAAACTTTGATCATCTAAGAATTGTCCTGACACATTCAAAATTTGGAATTCTTAAAAAATTTGTTAACTCAGCCCAGACCAGAACCAAAATGGCATCGAGCTTTTATATTATTTCGATCAATATATAATTATCGAAGGCTCTGATATGAGAATCGAAAGGGTCAGGACAATTTTACGACAATTTAGAACACTATGGAACAAAGGCAAAAAAAGTGTTGTATGCGCTTCTATGCCAAAACGATGGTAATACGAGGTCTCGGAGTGAAAATTTAATTGACCTGGAAATCACAGATGGCGCAGGGGGTCTCTCTGCAGTCAATTAGGGCCCCAGAAAGCATGAATCCAAAGAATTTCTGGAGTTTTGCTTCGATTTCTTTATAATTATTGTACGAAAACGACAGGTGGAGTATGCCATTTGGTACAATACACAATATAATTAGACACAGCTGTCAATATAAAAACGAACGTCGGCAACGTAGGCATTTAAAAAAATCTTCTTTATCAACGTTGATCAAGTTCCGTGACGTGTTTCACTTCACCTTAATAATTATAAAAGCTCATGCGAAGATTATAATAATCCCTACCTTCCAATTGTTTGTTTCAGCTTATCTGTAGCGTACCTTCATGGTGCGTGGTGTACTTGACGTACCTAGCTCCAGCATTCGCAATGTCCGGCTTGCATTTGGCCCCTGACGAAAACCTCACTTCCTTGTGGAATTATCTGGCCCTCGGACTGTTATACCTGATGGTGCAGCACTCAGTTTGTGTGCTATTTGCCTACATTTGTAAATGGCCGAGTTTGGCCGCCCTGCTCACAGGAATCGTCTGTGGCGAGATGATTCTTGGTGGAGGAGTTACTCTCCACCTGGAAAACTTACCCCAGTGGTACCGGAAACTCAGTCCTATGCAGTGGACGTTGTCCCAATTGTTGCCGCAGGTTCACGGCCAGGAAGCCGTGACCAAATTGACGAACTGCAAGGCGAAACAGGTGCAGCGACAGGACATCATCATGCAAGCTTCTTGCGAGCCACCGGACGGAGCTTTGGCTCTGCGAGAAATTGCGCTTGATCAGTTCGACGCTCGTTCTAACCTGTGGCTGGGAATATGCCTAGCTGTTGTTATAGTTCTTGTAATATTAGGATTTCTCCTCGTCAGATATAACAGACCCAAACGACCCAGGAGCGTACCTAACAAACCTTAATTTCAATGAGAATTGGATTATTCTTCGAGATGACCGGAATAACAAACCTTTATAGCGTTATTAGTCCGTTCGATAATTTCTAGATTGTATAACGATTGTGCGCATTCGTTTCGTCATCTTGCAAGATTATATATAAGAATAATCTTTATAAAGGATTATTCTTCTCAAGCAAAAAAGCGTGAATCGTCCGAACTCCTACGAGCCTACGGATGGAGAATTAGCTCCCAGAAAAATCGTACTTAAGGGGATGTGAAAGTGGCATCCGAGGGATCAATCGTTCGTGAAACTTTTCTTCGAACTGAGTATACCGAATCGTTTAAAACATTATTATGTGAATACGGGGAGTATAAGGAAGGTCCTGAAACTCGCGAAATTCATTTTTTATCAAAAATTTTGAAAATATCTGTAAACAATTTGTTTCAAAATTGAAATTTTATTAATGTCAGGAGCTTCCTTACAGCCTCCATAATAACGTTGTCAAGTTTTGAAACGATTCTCTACACCCAGTTCGGAGAAAAGTTTCATAAACGAGACCATTGTGTTTCCACTTTCACATCACCTTAAAGAACTCGATTTGGTCCAATTTATAACTGAGGAAATGTTAAGCGGTTGCTATCTTAATATTGTTATAATTTCATCTCATCAAATATAATAGTTCAAAACACGCTAGAAACGTGCTAAATAAACTTAAATTCTTGGAGAAAATGAACCGACAGGTTACGGCATGACTAGTGCGATGAATTTTTTCGTGCTTTTGGTCCGTCCAACGGTTCTTCCATAATGTATGGCAGACATGTACCTTACACCTCTGTCATCTTAGAAGTCGGTAATTGTAGACTTATATATTAATTAAACTTAAATCTAGACATGTAAGAATAGTCTCAATCAAGCGAAAATCCGCCGAACACTCACTGCACATCGTAGTCAGTGTGATAGAGAATAGTCGTAGAGACGTTGGCTTCAGTTCAGCGTATAGGACCAGTGAAGTGTTTCCGGATTTTCTCGATAAGCGTCTAATTCGTTGTGACTTTTTAAAGGTAAGACCTTTAGAGACTCGCACGGTAGACGTTCGCAATAAAAGAAACGCCATTGACAGACACGATAGCGTTCTGCGCCAAATATATATATGTTTGAGATCGGTTACAATTACATTACTTTATACGCTTAAGATGAATCCGTCCCTGTTATGACATTGTAACGAGTACTCTTTCCATGTAATAAAATTTGTTTGCTACTGCAGGAAAATGTTTTTTTTTCGAGCTCCTCGTCAAATTCAAAATCGTCGAGAATGAGTCTATCAATTTTGTTAACTCCAATTCATATTAAAATAGCTAAGCTCGTTATGTCTACTCTGTGTCAAGGACGGGACATTTTATTTATACGCAGGAGAGGTTCTTAAAGTGACATGAAAGGGTCATTCTATATATATATATAAAACGTAAAAATATAAAACTTTCCTTCAAACTGGGTCCACCGAATCATCTGAAATTTCAACACGTGATTACGGAGGCCCTAAGGAAGAACGCGATGCTCGTGAAACTTCATTTTTCGAAGAAAAATAAAATATGATCTTGCTTCTGGTCTAGGATAAATTTCATGAGCATAGTTCTTTCTTAGGGCGTTCATAATCACGTAAAGTTTCAAATGATTTTGTACACCCAGTTTGGAGAAAAGTTGTATAAATATTTTCACATCTTGGTATAAGGAATGACCCTTTCATATCGTCTTAAAGCAGAGCTAGCTAGTTTCAATGTACAGAATAACACGGACTAGCCATGCTATCACAACGCAGGAGAGGTTCTTAAAGTGACAAGAAAGGGTCATTCTATATATATATATAAAACGTATAAATATAGAACTTTCCTTCAAACTGGGCGCACCGATCATCTGAAATTTCAACACGTAATTACGGAGGCCCTAAGGAAGAACGCGATGCTCGTGAAACTTCATTTTTTCACAAGAAAAAAAAATGTGATCTTGCTTCTTGTCTAGGATAAATTTCACGAGCATCGTTCTTCCTTAGGGCCTTCATAATCACGTGAAGTTTCAAATGATTTTGTACACCCAGTTTGGCGAAAAGTTTTACAAATATTCTCACATCTTGATATATGGAATGACCCTTTCATATCGCCTGAAAGCAGAGCTAGCTAGTTTCAATGTTCAGAATAACACAGACTAGCCATGCTATCACAACGATGTAGTCTGTATGGATCTACAAATCTCACGGATTTCCTTCTTGCATAGGAACTTTCCGAGGTTTTGGAAACTAGCGGTAGAGTTAAAGAATTCGTTAGTTCCCGGCTTCTGGAGTGCTTCTCATGCTTTTCGTTGCTGGATTGCCTGCTTCTAATCGTCGAAGTGTTGCTTAATTCCTGTAAGACCACCGAAGACCTGGATTTCATTGGATTAGGTTGCTTCGTGTAGACTTTTAGCTCGGAATGGGCTCGGCCCTCTTGATTGTCGTTATCAGAGCAAGAACTGTTTCCCATGGGCCATGGTTGCTGCAAAGCAAGTGGCAAATTGCACTTGAGACACGGCGATACCTGAAATCATGCAACGTATCAATTAATTAATAGTAAACGTGTTTAAACTATTTATAAAATCGATTTCGCCGGTATCAAACGCGTTCATTACGTGAGTCTATGTCGTAATTCTAACTCGTAGTTTACATTTACATATATATATATTGAAACATATGCCTGAATAAATGAGAATTTGCGTTGAAAATAATCACTTCTAGGAATTTATTACGATATTATTTCGTGCTTGGGAACATTTAACCGCTGTCTTTTGTTCATAATAGGCGGTAATAAGAAGGGAATTACGGTGAAATTATTCATTGAGAATTGTAATAAATTTCTGTTATAAATATTCATGTGGGAGATAGACTAACTTCGCGTTACTTTCTCAGCAAGTGTGCTTAATGGAGGCAGTTATGCTAATACTAAAAGATATAAATAACTGTACTAAATGAACTTTGTCTGACGATCCGGTTTTGTGGACTAAACACAGAACGGGACAGTTCAACTCTCTGCAAAAATATTCAGTCACCTGTAGAAATAAAAACTGGTTTATGAACAGGTCATTTATCAAAATAAAATTGGAAAAGGAGATTATTCTCTTTTATGGGACATTTTTTAAAAAATGGAGAATGCACTTCCGCTTTCGATTGTTTAATCCATTGAAAAAAAGAAAATGTAGTATGTACGTCACGAACAGAGCATCAATGTATGTACAAAAATGTCTTGTCTTTGAATAAACTAAAATGTCCAATTATGTAGAATTGCTATTTATAAAAAATGATAAAACTGTTATAAATCTTTAATAGTGATAAATATCTACTGACACGTTCCTTCGCATTTTCTTTGTCGGTGGTATTTTCAATGCCATGCGAACATTTCAATATTTTCCACCCCATGTTAACTGCGTTTGCCACCTTCTGCCGATGTACCTGTAATGATTAATGTTACCTGCAGTGGAAAATATCTACGTACAGTGGGTAAGACTCAAAGAGAAGGTACTACAAGGATTACGACGTCTTCCTTAACTCCACTTGCTGGTAAAGCAGGTTCGAGTCAGACTTACACGATAATGAAAATGATGTATCGGATTGTACCAAGGAATTATGTTCAAAATGTTAAAATATCTATTTTAACATTAAAGTGCAGATATGAGTAGCTATGCAGCTTAAGGAACAGAAGTTTATAAATTAAGGGGAAATATTAGAATTGAGAAAACATTACCGTACAGTCAAATTTTATGATGATCAAATAAGTAATGATTTCACTCCGATATGCTCGTTACGATTAAATATATTATAATATGTCGTTACCTCAACTATTAACCACAAAAGAACGACACTGATTATACCAGTCCAATAAAAAGTCAGATTGTAGCAGTAAAAAAAAAAGTAGTCCAATTTTATGGTGATCAAATAAGTAATAATTTCACTCCGATATGCTCGTTATGATTAAATATGTTATAATATCTCGTTACCTCAACTATTAACCACAAAAGAACGACACTGATTATAGCTATGATAATATCGGGCGTGCAAGAAGTGACTTCACGATTCATTTTGGAATTCCATGTCCTGCCTAGTCTGCCCATTTCTTATTGGCCTTTTTCACATTTTTCATTTTCCTCTATTTTACCTCATTTTGCGAGTTGATTTCATTCTAGCCGATAATACAGACAGCGAAATTTGGTTCAGTTCGTTCAGTCAGAAATCAGTCGTAATTCCGCGGTCGAAACAAAAGCTCGAAAGGATGAGAATAATGCGCTTTATCGCTTTCCTTGCACGCTTCGAATTTTTTTTAACGACTATCAGGCTACCGGTGAATCATCTACCGACATAAAGGCGACGATAAAGCCATGCAAGTTCATACATACGTAATTCGAAGGTTAACATTTATTTAAGGCAACTCAATGCATTTAAACAAGTACAAAGTGCAGCATTAAGTAGTACAACGTTCGTTGTCTCGTCATCCTAAGGCCTAAAATTTGTCTAAATGCATTAATGTACACTTAATCGTAATCTAAGCAGTAAATTACTGTCGCTACTAAAATTAAGGAACGTGAAATTGTATGTAATGCAGACATTCCCATTTATGCTGCACGCGCCGATTTTAGGCACTAAATTAAATGAAGTCAACTCTGTAATGTATAAAAACGTGTTTCTATAGAGTTTATTTTCAAAAATATTATTCTCGAAAAGAAATACTTGATTACGAATTAAATCATGAAACCTTGTAGACTGTTTTGTTCAAAATTGGAGGAAAACTCGAACTTAGGTCCATTACTCTTCTTATTGTTAGTGCTCTGATAAGAAAATTAACTGGTGGAAAACCTCTATATCTAAAGGCGGACGGAATTTCTAATTGACCGCAATTCCTAGTAGTACCGGTAATTAGTATATTGCCATTTAATTTGTAGTATTACACTAGCACTCGTATTTCATAATTCTATGAATGCTCTTTAGAAGTTCATTCATAAGGATTTCCGAATGGTGCGATACTAAAATTGTACGGCAATAAAATGAGTCACCCATTGAGTGGATACAAGGTCGAGGCACAAATCCTTCTAAGTAGTGATCGTCATAATCTAGGGAACAATGAACCTAATGCTATGAGATTGGAGATTTATTGAATGGCTTTACCTAGATAGAGGCAATAGCCTTGAACCAGTACTTTAAAAGAAAGCCCCCAAGCAAAATATATATCAGAAGTCTCCTTTGCTAGCCTAAGAAAAGGTAAATTATTTAAGAATATTTTTCATTTAAAATAACAACGTACTTAGGTAGGATAGAATCTAAAATAGCTTATCTTAAGATCCTCAATATTTTAATATTTATTTTCATCCTGCTTCAAAATCTAAATGAATTGAGCTTTATCCGCTACAATAATACAGAAAGCAGTTAACATGTTTTACATTTATTTTACCCTGTGTACTTTCATATTTCAATGAATAAAGATTGAATCAAATTTGTCGTATAGTTGACCCTTTCTACTTACTTTAATGATACTATTAAATATCTCTCTTAATTATACTCTTTAGAGATGAATTGACTATTAATACATAATGATACCAAGAAAATGTGTACTTGGCATTTCACAGCAATTACTTTCTCCAATTACATTTATTTTACTCTGTATACTTTCATATTTTAATAAATAAACATTGAATCAAATTTGTCGTACAGTTGACCCTTTCTACTTACTTCAATGATACTATTAAATATCTCTCTTAATTATACTCTTTACAGATGAATTGACTATTAAAACATAATGATACTGGGAAAATGTGTACTTGGTATTTCATAGCAATTACTTTCTCCATGAATGAGGGGTCCCAATGCTACCAGGAAAATGTGTACTTGGTATTTCACAGCAATTACTTTCCCCAATGAATGAGGGGTTCAATTGAAGCACAGCTAAGAGGGTATCGGCGTACCCTTTTTCTAATTACCTTCCAGAATACGTGTCCATTTACGGGAATTTCTGAATGGCTCCATGCCGACGGTAATAAAATGAATCACCCATTGACCACACACGGGCCGAGGCCCTTTTGAGCGTCGATCCTCATTATAAGGAGCAATGAACAGTTCGTTTAAAAACATGACCCTCAATGAACGGTTCTAGGGGGAGAACCATGGTTTTAGATGTGCTCTTACGCAGGTGCATACTTGTAATACGCTTCATTTAATTTCATTTATTAACATCGTTTACACGATGGAATTTCGCGCCTATCGCAAATATTAAAAAAAAAAAATAATCAAAAAGCGCGATGACTATACTTACTAACATAGATATACATTTAGAATCAATTTTATATCTTCCAAATCAAAATCTGTCAACCGATTTTAAGGGTATTTTCGTTGTTTATGTTTTTCTTACACGTAAAAAGTACTTTCAGTTTCCTAAGTGATGTTAACACTTTTCGCCTGTATTTATTTACCTATAGATTAACGGCCGCCATGATGGAAGGCGACCACGTGAGTTCTGCGCATGCGTGGAACCGGACAATCCAAAGTTCCGCGGGAAATATGAAGCACGAAGTCATTGCTAAAGAAATTTCTTTTGCTTCTCAAAGTGAATAAATCTCCTACTTAAGTCTCGACTATGTATAAATTCTCTAGTAAATTGCTACATAAAAACAGAACATAATCCGCCTATCTGGCGGAATTTCCAGTGAATTCAAATTTCTTACCGGATCCATTGAAAAGGAAACGTGACCTCTACTTTTTTCTTCTCATCCCCTGTTTTTCTCGATTGGACCAAATTAAGCATCTCTGGCGGCATTTTGATAAGGCCATTTTAGCAAGCAACATAAGCTGAATAAATCTAACTCCTTAAATCGGCGATATTTCAATATGGACTCCTTGACGTAGCTAAAAGGTCCGGACTCGGAGCATTCTCCGACCTCCGGTCGAGGATTTATGGTCGTTTCGGAATGATTTCTCCTCAAGGTCTCGTGCGGGACCTACGAAAATAAAAAACGGCATAGACGATAAGGTTGTAGACTGCGTGGGTGCGCGCGCCGCATCCTCTCTCCGGTCCCCTCGACTGGCTCATTGATTACTTTGCTTTAGTAGGGCCGCGCGTTTCTCCAATACTACCACCCATTCACCGTAGGTGCGCATGTACACCCGTATATACGTTGGTACACTATCGTGCATAAGTATCCACACGATCGCTCGTTTTCATGAAAATGCGAGTAATGGCGTGATTTTTCACCTCTTAAATTACACTTATTTATACACGCGGTATAGTCAGTAATGCGAATAGATTTGCGACTAAATAGTTTAGTAGGTAGATTAAGTACATGACAATGTACGTATTTTCACAGGGCCGTGTATTTTTAAGAAAATGCAAATATCACTGGAATCCCCATATCGTAAAACTATATTTATTCGTCGGCCGCGTGGTTAGTAATCAGAAGGGAGACATAATTTTGCAGTTCAGTAGATGTACGTAGATATTCACAAGTATAGAATCATGAATGGGTAGCGGAAAATAAATGCGAATAAGTACATGCATTTATTCTTATTAAGATATTTACACATTTTCGTAATACATCGTAATGTGAATAGTACAATTCAACGGGACAATTATTATATTCTACTATACTACGCAGTCACCTAAGCGTTATTATACTATTATAAGCTAGATATATCTAGTTTAGACGTCTACCGAAAGTACAAAAATCTTTAGAAAAACTATAAACATGTTTATACGTTTTCTTAGACAGGCCCTTAACGAACGACATAACTTAATACATATGTTCTACTATCACTTTTTTACGAATGAAGAGATTTTGAAAATTGCGAAGAACAGACAAGTACCCTAGTAGCATAGAATAATTTCTAAATATTTCTTTGTAATCTTTGCTAAACATCTCAAGTATCAGATTTTTTAAGATTTCTTGTAGATTTCATTCGAAGATATTTGAAACATTTCTTGAAAATCTCAATGACATATTTACTTTCAATAATTTATAAACATATAGAGNATATTTGTATATATGTAGACGTGTACGTCAGGCTTAGGGGAAGTATTCGAAGAGTGGATATGGGAAAAAGGGGTCACAGGGGAGCAGGGTTTGCTGGTAGAGGTGGTGGAGAGTATAAGAGCTATGTACTGTCGTCCAGACTGTAGAGAGCTATGTAAAGCCATATACAGCCGTATAGATAGCGACACGGACAGTTTTACATCGTGGGCTGAAGCGTGTCTCGAAGAATGTGGGCGCACCAGTTTTAAGCGTCATTCAGGGACCCGGCGCCCATATTCAGACGCTTATTGTCGTCGATGGTCCTGGCGACGTCCACCGGGACGAATGAGATGAGAGTTCTGCCTTTATGGTCGGCCTGTGCAGCCCAGCTCTAAGTTTCAGGTATACTGCGAAACTCGAAAAGAAATGCGGCCCCAAAATGCTGAAAGGTGCCTCAAAATTCGACTTTCTCTCCAAGAAAAACTAAGAAGAAAGTCATTTTAACGTGAATAAATTTAAAAAAAAAACAAGAAGAATTCATTTTTATGTCGTGGATACGGTGAGATAAATTGTATGTTAATTAATTGTGCCAATTGAGATACATACTGTGGAATTTATCATCGTATTTTATATATATATATGATAATCTAGGAGGCGATGGTTCTACCTTGTACTGGCGCCAGTTATGTTCAAATATTGGTAAATATCAACAAATTTCAAGAAGATATTTAAATCATATTCTATACAGAATCTGTCGAAATTCGTTTATAATTATAATGCTTGCGGGAGAATATCGAGATTTACGTATGAAGCATAAATGTGTTGTTCTTGTGCGAAGGACTTGTATGTAGAGAGGGAAAAGCAGAAGTTCGGCATGAACAGTCCTGGTAATGTTGTTTGAAAGGAAAGAGGAGAGTTGAGCCCTTAGGGAGTATTCTATCCCCATGGGTCGTTACGGTGTAGATTTCAGGTATGCCTAAGGGAAAGGTATTCGAAGGTACATTCCAGAAATACCTCTCTAAGGACGGTCAAAAATCCTTCCAAGGAGGAAATACCTCGTTTTGCATAGTCGAGCACGTCGATCTGTGCTTGAAAAGTAAAATCGGACTTCGGGCCTTCGTTTAGATGTTAAAGTAACAAATGATCTTGGCGGTCCGAAGAACGGGATGTAACGGAAATCCAGCCTTCAGAAGAGATCCACCCTGCAGGGACAG